GCGCAGTGGCTACAGCACTGGTCCTAGCTGTGTGACCCTTAACCCCAATTGCCTCACCACCCCTCCCTCCCCGAAAAAGGACAAAAAAAAAACAGCTAGGTGGTGCAGCAGATAGAGCATTGACCCTGGAGTCAGGAGCACCTGAGTTCAAATCCAGCCTCAGACACATAACACTCACTTTAGCTGTGTGACTCTGGGCAAGTCACTTAACCCCAACTGCCTTACCCCACCCCCCAAAAAATACTTAGGGGCAAGTAGGTAGTGCAGTGGACAGAGCACTGGCCCTGGAGTCAGGAGAACCTGAGTTCAAATTCAGCCACAGGCCATACACTTGACACTTACTAGGTGTGTGACCCTGGGCAAGTCACTTAACCCAATTGCCAAAAAAAAAAAAAAGAGACTGAAAAATATAGAGAATGCAAAATCCTGTTTTATTATTTAAACATAAGCACACCCATTTGCTTCAGCAGAATAAAATACCACCTTAAATTCTCACCAATAAGGGGTCTTCCATGTATGTAACAAAATTATTCAACTTCTTAAAAACATAACATTGGTCTTATTTGCTAATTGGGGAGGAATGAAACAGAGATTTGTTTTTCAAGGCGTTCATAGCATCATGAAGGATATCCAGCACACATTTTAAGTTGAGAATTCATTATAGATAAGGGCTTCCAGATTCTCTTGTTTGCAGATGGCATTGCACTAATTATATTATACCACACAACACTGCAAAACCTTCTAGATAAGATCCACAAACACACGAGTTTGACCTAACTATTCAAACGTGGAAAAAAAACAAACCACCTAAGTGTGTCATATCCAGATGATGTTATAAAATTATACAGACATAAAACTTGTCATGAGTTTGTGTTTTATCTTAGAAACCACTACCAGAAAATGAGTTGGGCTTGGACTTAAACAGTAAGGGGTGAGCAGGATGCCTTTTGGGCCATTGTCTTCAACCTAAACAAAGCCCATCCTTTAAACATCGATATTCTACTAATGTGGCTGTGCAGCAGAGTCATGGAATACTAGTCTGTGAAGAACTGAAAATGAGTATCATCCAGAGGGCATTAGAGAGGTGTATTGTGGATATGAGTAAGCAAAACTCACTAGAGAAAAAATGTGAAAAAAAAAAAGTATGAACAAAAAAGATGGACTTATCATGTGACCAATCTTTAACCACCAATCTTTAAACAAGAGAATGATGCAACACTTTATTCTGTATATGCTGAATGACATGAATATGGCATAATAAAAAAAAATTCATCAAGAACTTATATGAAGGTACATGTGACCCATTTAATGAGACACATCTCCAAAACTGCCTAAGTTAATGATCAGATGAGACATACATTCCACCACAACGTCCATATTCAAAACCTTTCCAGATTTATATATGTGACCTGTCACAGCTTATACACTATTGGTACAACCTCTAAGAACTCAGAATTAGCCTCCTCCCAGAATGAAGCACTGGAGTAGGATAGTGATAACTGTATCTAAGCATACATTCACAGTGCACAAACTGGTTCAATCCATCTGCAAACTGACAGTTGAGACCTTTCTTAATATAAAAGAAAAAGAAACTGAAGAAAAAGAACATTATACAGGGTGTCCCAAAAGTTTTTGTGCAGTTTTAAGCCTTAATAGTTTGGGAGATGGAGACTTTTTTTAAAACCTAACCCACATAAATATTGTGTATTTGGATGAGTGTAACTTTGTTAAGAAAACAAACAAACCAGCATTATTGTGGAGGGTGGGAAAGAAGGAATTATATTTAACTACTAGTCCTAGTACTAAAATGTTTCAATCACCTGAAGACCAGCCAGGCTCTCAACCTGAATAATCAATTTTTCTAGCCATGGAAACTTATGGAAATAGGTAAAAATGTAAAATGGTCCTCAGAACAGTATAACCACATTTCCACTATGATGCTATGACAGTGGCAAAGGCGGCTAAGAATTGTACTAAGATTATTTATTAACAATGAATATAATCTTAAAAGTCTATCCAGTTAATGAAAAGAGAAACATAAAAGTTCAAAATGACAACTTTGTTTTGTTTACTTATGTGTTATTCTTTAAAAGGGGGAGGGGGGAAACTGAATTTAGTCAGAAGACCTGAGTTCAAATCTCAGCTTCGCCAATTACTGCCTGTAACACTACAGACAAGCCCACTCTCCGGGCTTCAGCTTCCATGTCAATAAGGTTTGGATTAGATAATCTCTAAGCTCACTTCCAGCTCTAAGATGATAATACTCAGCAATCAGTTCTCAACTTGATATCTTTACACAGCCCCTAAAATATTTCTATTACCTGCATATGTGCACCTATGTCTACTTCATGGCGTATTTGATAAGAGATCTACTCTCAAAGTTGGAAAGGGCTAGTTTGAAGTTTTTCCTCTCACACAGTCTGCAAGAGAGTCACTGGATACATCACTTACCTCTCCATACCCCCAGGTTACTCCTAAGCCCATAGAAATTGCTGGGCAGGTGCTGCTCTGCATCGGCAGAGAGAATGTACTTGTCAGGCATTCCCTATACCAGTGGATTCCCAGGTCCAGTTCACACACACAGACACACTGTTCATGGAATTGTTTCAAAAGTTGTGCTTCACAGCAGACAAATAAGCTTCATGGCAAGGGGTGGCACAACTCTTTATATTAATATGTACTATGACTCCATGCTGGGAAAAAAGACTTTGAATACTGTTGACAGTATTTTAAACACATTTTAAGAGATATTTATTGAATATCTATGTACAGGATAGATATGGGGGATGAAGGAAGAAATAATATTATGCAGCTATTTATTCATCAATAATCTAACCGGAATAATACTGCTTATAAGTACTCCATACCTATTTCTGAAATAGAAATGTTTTCTTATAAAAGAAATATGATTTTTCTCCTGAGGTTTCTTTTCTATTTTTCTAAAATTTTCCTTTCTCATACCTAACAAATTTTCCAATAGTTGAAGTGTCTTAATGTTTATTTGTTGAAGATGACCTTGAAGTTTTTCTTGACTGTTTTCACAAACAACAGGCTTGAGTTCATCTAGGTAGCAACAAGGTTCCAAACTCCTAAAATATTCTGGTTGATGTTTATTTACCTTTCCATGCTTCCAGAGGCTCAATTACCTTCCACATTGCCAAGTTTCACTGTGGAAATTTGCAGACTGAAGTGATCCACTGAGCACAGCCATTTGAAAGAATTCAGTAGCCAGTCCAGTCTTTACTTAAATATCTAATAAAAGTTAATTAAATTTAACTAGAATTACTTGCAAATGTAGTTTTAAGGACATCTACCACTATAGTAATTTCAGTGATTGAGAAATTATAAGCTAGCCTCTGATGTTAAACATGTAACAAGATTGGTTTTGGCAGTGAGAGGAGAGGTAAATGGTTGCTAGATTTTGACTGCTGTGTTAATGCTGGGGGGCAGGGGGGGAAGGGGAAGACATGAAAAAAAAGTTCTGAACTGAGTATTATTTGAGTAAATACTAATTTTTCTATTCCAAAAATAAATAAAACACGTTATATGGCCCAACTGGGAAGATTATTACTTATAAATGTCAAAATAGCTTCAAAATGAAGGCATAATGATCAGAAATACAAAACAAATATTAAGGTCAAGTCAGGGGGAAAAGTTTGCTTTTAGTTTATAAGAATTTCAGAATTACATTAAAAAATAAGTCTTTATCATCTTATTTGCAAATTTAGCTTCTTAAAGTGAAAGAAAATATTACCTCAAGAAATAGGTCATTTTAATAAAAGTTACCCCTTTCAATTTTAACAAAAAAATTTTATCTTTTTAAAGTTATAAAAATTGGGAGAGATTAAAATGTGTAAGATTGCTATGGTTATTAATAATGTTTATTCCCTCCAATTCATATATTCTTATTTTGGAGTGCTTCTAATTATAACTGAAAGCATTACAAATTACCAACATTATCAAAATGGCATACATAATCTTATTGCATTTGTAGTAAAGAAGAAAATTAGCTTATAGGTATTGACTTTTATCCTACATTTTCACTATTGCTTTATTCTTGTTTAGTTTAATTTGTGTCATTTGCTCCCACATCATAAACTGACAAGGCATTTTACTCATCAACAGTAGGATCAGTCAGCATAAGTGAGAGAAAGAAAACCAAATGGAGCAAAATCTTCACAAATGAGTTTTAACAGTGCCCTTTAGGTAGTAACTGTTCTTGCTATTTGAATAACATTTAATTAATTACATAAATTAGAAGTATTCAGCTTTAGTGACTATTCTTAATAATTAAATTACAAGTTGCTCCCAGTACAGAAATATTCCATATATCTGAATAGATGGAAGAAGATCAAGTATAATTTATTGAAAAGCACAAGGTGGAATCAAAATAACTCCAATAAATTAAAGGAGTATATTAAGTGGGGGAGGAAGAGGCTACTTTATGTTACATCTCCACCACATCCCGGTTTTCTTAAAATACCTATCCAGCATAGAATAATTGCTATTTACATGCATACTCTATCAGTATTATGTCACGGTATGGGGAAAGTTCAACATAAGACTGTGCCATTCAGCTTGGGGATTAGGTGGAGGAAGAGGAGAAAGGTTAGAATAATTTAAAAAAAAAAAAGGAAGGAAATTTAACAGGCATGTAAGACTAGAGAAGGGCTGATTTAACTTGACATCAGGTTTTCTTTTCCAAATACTTGGCTAAAATGGAAGGAGCTATATAATACAACAATACGAACTGAGTTTGTACCTCCCGTTCAAATAATAAGAAAAATTATTCTAGTGAAATTCCAAAGTTAATACAAACCTGAAAAAGCTGTTTTAAAACTAAAGTTCATACTAGATTGTGTTATAATCTATTTGTACTCAGAGGGGAAGGTGTAAATCAGAAAAGCCATAATTCCATATGCAAAAAACGTTGCAAAATTTATTCTTCATTGGGCAATATCTTATATATTGACAAAAGAGAATATAGAAAAAAAGGCAGGTGTGAGTGAACAGTTTTTATTGAAACCCTCAAAGATTAAAGAGGACCAAATGGTGAGTTTTGGTACCATAACAGAAATCCTCACCCAACTGTACCATCATTCACATGAATGAACAAACCCAAACACGACAAAATTCAAAGTCCCATGTTTTTGCTACAAGAGAATGTAAATGAACTAATCATTTTATCATAACCTTTTCTTTAATCATAAGAAAAAGAGAAGGGAATTTACATGGCATAACAAAAGATATGCAAAACTTAATGAAAACACAAGTCTCTTAAATTCTTTAAACTTATTTTTAAAGGATGCAAAATTCATTTGAAAGTATTAAATTACTTAAGCTGATTCTTTTTATTGCAAACCGTTTAACATCAGCCCCACCCCCATGCATGGTATTCAAAAAGAACACAGTTCTTGAGTTAGAATGATCATTTTAAGTTAAAAATGTGGAAACAAATATCAAAACTAAAAAAAGGCTGGGGCTTCTTTTGGGAAGAATCTGCAAGTACCAGTATGTATACAGAAAGAATACTAATTTTGGTTAGTTATTTCTTTACTTTTAAATATATAAACTAGAACACCTTCCAAAATAAAATACCCACAGAAGGTAATTTTAATAAGAAACATTCAAACCAGAACTAGGGAAAACATTAAACAAGAAATTTACTGGGCCAATAATTTTTCTGTATGCTCTATTACTTCAAATATTTGGTAAGTGCTCTCCCATCTCAAAACCCAGGTTCTCTCCCATTTGGTCCTACAGTTAAAGAACATTCAGTTGTGCTGCTGAGACAATTATCTATTAGCTTCACCGAAGGAAAATAATTCTTATAAGTACTATATTCATAGACCAAGAAGGAAGAGAAGACGGGTGCTCCGAAGAAAATTTAATGAAGAAAAACAATTACCAATTGGGAGAAAACCCTACATTATAAAATAGAAAATTCTTATTCCAAAGGACTATTGCACCTATTTCACTTAACATTAGCAATCCAGGTTGAAGGCACTGCAATGTATTTCTCACTGTGAATAAATCTTATTTCAAACTATTTAATTACATATGACATTTGAGTCTGCTATTGCAATCAGCTGGCTGGCTGAAAAGTGCTCCCATGCTGATTTATTCCATAGAATTCTATGTAAATTAAACAAATTTGAACTAGATGTATTTTTAAAAAAACAAAATTTGTATTAAAGTGCCAAAAAGAGAGGCCCTCTAGTGGTAGAGAAGGGCTCAGGCTCTCTCTTAAGCTCTAAAGGATCAGTTCCTCAGACCATGCAGAATAGCCAACATCCTGATGATATGATATGCCCTACAATATTACTGATTTAAAAAAAAAAAAGTTTGGTAACTATACCCAAATGCCAATTGCAATTATAAACAACTATAATAGACATATTATAAAAGGTTTCATGGCTTACTTTTTTTAAACACGTAGAATGGGTAAAATAGGTGCAATTTCCCTTTAAGAAAAGTGTTTTTGTTATATGCTACTGAGATTTGAATGTTCTCAACACATTGAAATAACTAGACTGACTACTAAGTAGCTGTGAAATAGCTATAGTTATTTGCAAATACTGTATCATTTCACTTGGATACAGTATTTGCACAGGAAGGAGAACTGTGCAACCTAAAAATATTTAAATGAAAGCCTCAGAGAAACCAATGCTATATTTCCATTAAGTTTTGGAATTGAAGTGATCACTGAGACCAGAGTAAAGGAAAACATTTCCAAACATGATGTAAACATATGTGGAGTAATGTGAAACATCAAGGTATTCAGATCTACTGTATTGCTATTATCAGCCTTCACCTATTTTCTTTCTACACAGCTTTTTCCTTTTAGGACAGTAATCTCTGGTGCTAGTATATTATGTTCATGTTCATGTTCATCATCATCATCATCATCATCATCATCATCATGTTATGCAGTCAAATCAGTTAATACAGATGCTTGATGTTTTAAATTGTTTAAATCAACTTCTTCCAAGATACAAAATTAATGTTGATACGTAGCTAAAATTAAAGAAAAGGTAAGATGTTTTTTTAAAAAAAAGACAACTACAAGAATACCCAGATATGCTATATTCCCACTTATATAGCTCTGATCAATAAAACATCAACATATTTACTTAGATACTGATTTAATCCATGGATCAAGGCCATATTTCAAAGTATTTTGAGGATGCTAAGACATTGCGAAAGCTGGAGGAAAAAAGGTGAGAAACGGTATATGCTTGCTAAACAAGAACTATGTTTATTTAGCTAGTGAATCATCTAGGAGTAAGTTTTTACTTCATGATAGCAATCTGTCAGGCTCGCAAAGACCCAGAAATAAGAATTAAGGATTATTTTAAATGTAGTTAGAAAGGTCATAAAAAGTCTGATTAGACTGAGGTACATTTACTCAAAACTTTGAGATTCATCATGTGGTAGCAAATAAAATAATTCCTCAGACAAATGCACATTTTTCAGTATACATATTATAAGTTGGGGGGGAGGAGAATAGGGGAAGAGGAAGAAGAATGTGCATTAATTGGTGATATCCACCAAGCTGCATATCAATATTCTGTTACACCAAACAATTTCAGACAAGGGAAATATCATTCTAATATAATTTCAGATTATATTTTGTTTGGCTAAAATATAGCTTAAGGTTGCTTTGCCATATTGAAAGTTTACTACAATAATTTTCACATGAACATTTAGACTTGAGTTTTACTCCAGGACTAAATATGGCATGATTTTGCTTTTAATCTGTCAAATAGCTAAAAACTGACAATTAAAAAACTACGACAAAGAAAAAGTTGAAGCAGTGTGACTCTTACATCATTGAACCACTTCTAATGGTTGTTAGTATTTAACAAATTCAAAGAGTTAATGAATCCTTGCATTCATTCAGTCTCCTGTGCCTTAGCTAGGATGCATAATTACAAAAGACAGCAGATACTGGTAAAAGCTTCAGGACAGAAAGTGCTTGACGAAGTTACAGTTCTCAAGTGTTTGGTGAGAGAGTATAAGGGCAGATGCGCTGATGAGAACCAATACAAGTAGAGTCAATTGTGTGTTAAAGTGTTCAAAGATGTCACCTTAAGCAGAAAAAAAAAAAGCTTTAATAATGTCTTCTTAGACATAGGAGGCATTTCCAGAGTCTACATCATTAGTGTTGTAATTCTAGCAGGGCATCTCCACATAGTTATTGTTTGTTTCTATTTCTCTCCTGAAAGAAAAACACAAAATCAAGTTATAACAGATGCTTTTCATTTCAATGTGTGTAGCAATTGTCACTTTTTCTGTGTAATACAGAGACATTCTGCATACTGCCGCCCAAACCAACATTTTCTAATGTGGTCATTAACACATTATAGCCAAATTCCAAAGGCATAATTAACTGTGTCATAGTAGTAATGATGACATTTCAGTGCTATACAGTTATAGCTTCTTGATTAGAGTAGCTAGAAATATCAATAAAAACTTATTTTAGAAAAATGGTACACAGGCTTGGAATCAGAAAACAAATGGGTTGAAGTCCAACCCTGACCTCATTTTCTGTGTGATCCTGTCACTTGTGTGACCAAGTCACTTAAAATATCAGAGCCTCAGACAACTCTCTGAGACTAAGTCTTATTTACCCTTTGATCCAGTGATAGCATTACTAAGTCTATTTCCAAAGATGATTAGGGAAAACTGAAAAGAAACTCTATGTTCTAAAACATTTATTAACAGCTCTCCTTGTGGTGGCAAAGAATTGGAAATTGTAGGGGTGCTCATGAATTGGGGAATGGCTATTGTGATGGAATACACTGTGCTATAAGAAATGATGAGCTCAATTATCTTAGAAAAAACATGGAGAGACTTGAATAAAATAATGATGAGCAAAATAAGCAAAATAACGAAGAGAACACTGTATACAGTAAAAGCAATATTGCTTTAAGAATGAGTTGTTTTGACTATTATAAAACACCCAGATTACTCTATCTGTATCCAGAGAATGAACTGATAAATAGAAGTATGTACAGAATAAGTTTATTTGTATACACACACACACACACACACACACACACACACACACACACACACACACACACACCCCTCTTTGTGTCTAATGTATATATCTAATGGTGGCCATCTTTAGGGTGGGGGGGAAGAAAAGAAAGTAAAAAAAATACATGATAACTTTGTTGTATATTTAAAAGGAATAGCAAGTTATACATAGTAGATCTGCAGTTTCATGAGCAATCACTTTTTTATTATACTATATTATGGAAATGCTTGTTTTATTCCACAAAATACAAAGAAAGAAAAAAAATAAAGAAAGGACAGGACTAAGTTGCAGAATAGGTACTGGTAGAAGGAAGTTTTTCTCAGCTGGGATCTCTCAACATTGTTGAAATCACAAATCAGATCAAAACCAAAAACAAATCTCCAAAGCCCATGTTACATTTACAGTACAGTTCCTAAACAACTAAATGCTCTCATAACATAGTTCTGTTAAAGTACCAAAATATATTTGGAGGGTAGGGTGAAGAGTCTCAAAACTTTCTCAGATGAGTGTCTGTAGGAAGAACTAGGGCTAGTTAGAAGGATAGGGTAGACATACCATATGAAGATAGGAAATTATTTTTGTTTTACTTGTCAACAGGGGGACAGAACTAGGAATTCATAGATGAAAATTAAGGAGAAGCATATTTTGGTATGATAACAGGGTAAAATCATTTAGCCCTCTAAAGCCAGTTTCCTTGTCAATAAAACAAATGGTTAAGCTGTATGGTTCCCAAGGTCTGGCAGCTAGGTCACGTGCAGTGGAGAGAGAACTAGGCCTGGGATCAGGAACATGTCGTTTAAATCTGATCCCAGACATTTATCACTTAACCTGTTTGCCTTAGTCTTCCACAACTGTAAAATGGGATTTAATAATAGCACTTACTTCCATGACTGTTATGACGATCAAGTAAGATGATATTTGTAAAAAATGTTTAACAGTACCTGGCACTTAATAATCCATTAGAATGTGAGCATCCTATCTACAGTGCTATGCATGATGCCTGGCACATAGAAAATGTTTAATTAATGCTGACTGCATCAAGCTGCTATACCATATAATTTAAGATGCAGTTGCATTTTGGGGAGAGGGAAATCAATAAGAGCTTGAGTATTCAGAAAAGGATTCATGAAGATGAACCAACTCAAGCTAGTCCTTGAAAGACAGAAAATGATATCAACACAACTAACATTAGCAGTTAACACCTACAGAATGATTTAAGGTTTATAAAATGTTGTGTGTACATTATCTCATTGATCCTCACAACAACCCTTTGTGGAATAGGCACTACAATGTAGTATTACAATTTAGACAGATAGAGGGGAAAGTCTAAAAATTACAGTTAACATCAAGCTAAGAATGAATGTCATATCAATGAAAAAGAACTGAGAGTGGTCTGAAGGAAGCAGAATGCATACACTAGGAAGGAGCAGGAAATAAAGGATAGTTGTAGTGAAGAGTAGGATGATTGTAAGCCCTGAAAGTGGGACTAAAGAATAGTTTTCCAATTTCATATTATCACCAAAATAAAAATAGAATTTCTTCATTAAACAGTTTTATATAATTGAAACAATTCACCTTTAACTTATATATCCATTTATTATATGAAGTATTCTATTCTAATTCTTACAGTCAACTAAAATTTTCAAATGGAACAGACTGAGAAGACATCAATAGTGAATTTCTCTGCCAAGTCAATCTGACACTATGACTTAAATATTCTTCAATCAATTCAAAATTTCTGCCAAGGGACAGTGCAGTCTGTTTCACTTTGAAATTCATCATGAGCAATGATATTATTAAGATTTGGGTGGGGTTTTTCTACTAAGCATAGAGATTAATTATCATTTGAATGAAAAGTAAAGGAGAATTCAACAGCTGTTTAATGATAACTGCTAGCTATAGACCACATGGCCAACAGATTTTTCACTCCTGCAAAAAGAATGTTACATATATTACCAAAATTAAATAGAAGCAAAAGAAAAATCATAGCATCTATATATGTCCACATAGAACTGAATAACTTGTGTAACATAAAAGGCCTAGGTGGTGTCCTGTTTCCCTTCTATATGTATTCTAAATTCACAATTATTTACCTACTTCTTATAAGCATTTTACTAATTTCTTCCACTTACAAAATAAAAGAAAGGCAGTGTAGTACATTGGAAAGAGCATGGCATGTGGAGCAACCCCATGGATGTTCAAAACTAGTGTGACCTTGGGGAAGTAATTTTACCTCCATGTCAGCTAGATGAAATAGGGACTTACCTGAAAGTCAGGATTTAATGATGATTCAGATGCTTTACTAGTTATACAACTCTTTCAGTTGTTCAGTCGTTTCAGTCATGTCTGACTTTCCATAACCCCACTTGGCGTTTTCTTGGCAAAGATACTAGAGTGGTTTGCCATTTCCTTCTCCAGCTCATTTTATAGATGAGGAAACTGAGGCAAACGGGGTTAAATGACTTTCCCAGGGTAACACAGTTAGTTTGTGTCTGAAGGAAGAGGAGTTTTCCTAACTCCAGGACTCACACTCTTATTTACTGTGCCACCTAGCTGCCCCAAATTTGTTCTTTAGTCATTTTCAGTCATGTCTGATTCTCCATAACACCACTTGAGATTTTCTTGGCAAAGATGCTAGATTGGTTTGTCACTTCCTTCTCTAGCTCATTTTACAGATGAGGATACTGAGGCAAACAGGTCACACAGCTATTAAGTGTCTGAGGCCAAATTTGAGCTCAGGTCTTCCTGACTCCAGGCCTAGCACTCTAGCCACTATACTACCTAGCCCCTTTACATGACTCTAGACAAATCTTTCAACCTGTCTCATTTTCTCATTTGTAAAATGATGAGATAATAATACCGCCTACTCTCCACAGTTGTAAGGATCAAAAGATGGTGTAACTAAAGTGCTTGCAAACCCTAAAAAGTGCTATATAAATGTTGCCTATTATAATTTACCTCTCTGGACTTCAATTTCCTTACCTGTAAAATAAGGGAATTTGAAAGAATACACCTATAAGGTCCCATTTAGCTCTAAACCTAGGTCTTATGATCTATTTCCACTCTCAACCAAGGTCAGTAACAAAAAAATCCATTACAGTCTATTCCTCTATTACTGATCACATCAGAAGGAAATTGTTTCAAGGAAGATATAAGGTCAGTCAATAAAGATGTATTAAGAGCCTATTATGTGACAGGCATATATTAAACATTAGAGATACAAAAAGAGTCAAAAAAACAGTCCCTGTCCTCAAGGAGCTGTTAAGAGAGAAGGAAAACAAGAGAAAGGAACTAACAAGCTATATATAGGATGAATAAGAAATAATTAACAAAGGGAAAGCACTATAGAATTAAGAGGAGTTCTCAGAGAAAATAGGATTTTAGCCTGGAAGTCAGGGAAGCCATGAGGCAGAGATGAGGAGGGAGAGTATTCCAGGTAAGGGGGACAGCCAGAGAAAATGCTTGGAGCTGAGACAGTGTCTTGTACATGGAACAGCCAGGAGTCCAGTGTCACTGGATCAAAGAGAATAAGGTATAAGACGACTGGAAAAGTAGGAGGAGGTTAGGTTATAAAGGGTTTTGAATGCCAAATAGGATTTGTATTTGATCCTGGAAGTGATATGGAGCCACTGAGTGGGAAGTGGGTGGAGGCTGGAAGGGAAGGAACCCACATGGTTGGACCTGCACTTTTAAGAAAATCACTGGCTTGTGACTGGAGGATAGACTGGACTCCAAGCACAAGGTCATGAAGGTCTACACAGGTGCTAGCAGTTGTCAGAGGAGAGAAAGGGGCATGTTTGTGTTTAATAGCATGTGCTTCTATGACAAATCTTGATTTTTTTATAGCAATACGGATAAAAATTACGGAACAGTAATTTCTAGCCTTTTATTACATAATATGAGATAATATGCTCATGTAACTTTCTCAGAAAAGTTATATGAAAAGTATCTGAGGCCATCTACAATTCATTTTCTTACTAGCAAATCTATTTGGGCTAATCTTCATTAATGGGGAAGAGTTACTTAAACATGTAGAAATCTTTTTCTCACGGTACCATCAACTATAACAAATTTCAGTTAAAACTAAACAAATATTTGTTATCTAAATTTTAAACTACAGCACATTAAAGAAAATGCAATTAACCAACAAGATTAAACACCAACTCTGTCCAGTT